TTTTCTTATTTGTATTCAATTTTATAATACCCCTCTTTTTTCGGCCCTTTGAGAAGAAGGAAGAATTTAAAGGAAGCATTGAAGACAGTTAATGCTTGTCCTGAAAGAGAGAAATCCCTTCTGGTACGGCTTTAAGTAGCCAGATAAGCAGTCTACCTCTAACTGGGGTAGTGCAGCAGATCGCACTTAGGTACCAATAAGGTGGCCGGGTGATGCTGGACTTGGTTATTGGGAAAATTCTATGTAGTTATTGTATATAGTTACAAGAATCTTAATAAAGTACTAGCGTGGCTGCTTAAGAGCAAAAAAAAAAAAAAAAAAAAAATTAAAACAAAATAAAACTAGAAATACCAGTAATACAATTAATAGTTTAAGAAAGCAATCTTAAATGAAGATATTCTGAAGATAAATTAGAATTAGTTAATAAAAAAAGAGATAACTGATCAAATAAATAAGCAAAGTAATATTAAATGAAAATAACAAAAATCCTTAAAAGCTTAGAGAATGAAAAAACAATAGACAAGATAGCATTACTAATGACAGAATGTAGCATATATGATTTAGAAACAGAAGAGTTAAAACAATTAATGTTATTAAGATATAACAACAAAATCAAGAAAAACTTAAAGAAAAAAAATAAAATAAAAATATATGAAGACATTTATGCTTTAAAATGGCATCTAAAGAAAATAATAACTCAATATGAACTACAAAAAACAGACCAAAAACTTTTATATATAAAAAAATGCAAAGACAAGTCACAAACCAAGAAGAACAAACAGTAATCAAAAATAGGTTAATAATAATGCTAACACTATGAGACTTGCTAAAAGATATAAAATATAAAAGAGTAATATAATGTCTGAGTTTTTATAGAAAATTAAAAGTACTTAAATAGAAAGTACTTAAAAAAACAAAAGTAATAGTAGTGCAGATTACAGATTAAAACCAAAAAAAATTAGATCCTCTAATAATAAGTTAGTTAATACATTTTAAAAGAAAATTAATGTATAAAATTATACCAAGAAGATTCAACTTAGAGATATTAGAAAAAAAAAGAAAACATAAGTTAGTATTACAAGATATTTTAAAATTAGTAATAGAATCAACCTTGTTAAGACAACTAAGACCTTTAGATATCAAGACAATTTTTATCCCTAGCAACAGTAATGAAAACAAAAGAAGCATTGCTTTTGCTTATTTTGAATCAAAAGAAGATTGCCAGAAAGTAAAAAAAATACATGCCTTCTATTATTATAACAAATTGTTATAATATGAATATTAATGTTCAATACAAGAAAAAATGAAATTAGGAAAATATAAGCAAGAGAATATTAAAAAAATCTTAAGTAAAAAAGAAAGTAAAGAACAAAAAACACAGAGAAATACTAATCAAAGATATAAAGAACTAAGATTTATTAAAATAAAAAAAAAACTAGAAATAAGAAAAAAAGCAATAAAAAAAAATAAAAAATAATAAAAAATAAAAAGAAGAAATAGTAATTGTATAGCAAATTAGAGAACACCAAAATATGCTTCAAGAAATCTTAAAGAAACTTGACAATCTTGATAACAGGCAGGGTAATCCTGTCTATAGTTTCTAATAATTATTATAGTTATAACTAAAAAATATAATACAAAGAAAATAGATACTTCAAGAATAATAGAAGACAGAAGAAAAAATTCTCTAGTCAAAAATCAATTAGAGAAAATAATATAGAGCTAAACATTGCTTGTCATAATATTAATAAATTAAAAAACAATAAATACAAAATGGAACTAGGCCTTAGACAATAAAATTAATATATTAGAATTGACAAAAACAAATATAAATAAAAAAGAAAGATTTTTTTATAACAAAAAACTTAACTAAATATAGAAACATTTGAGCAGACTTAAATAAAAGAATCAGAAGTTGGAATTATGATAAAAAAAAGATAAAAAAAACATCTAAAACAAATATAGAGTTAACAAATATATGATAATAACAAACTTTATTTTTAAATAATTAGAAATAATAGTTATAATGATATACATATCTTTTAACAATAAAGAAGAATAAAGAAAAATTTAGAGAACAATTATAGAAAAATATATTAAAAGGTTATATAAAATACAAACAATTATTATAGATAATCTAAATTGTATTATTGACCTAGAGCTAGATAGAGCTAACATATCAAAAAGCAATGTTTTCAAAAAAAAAACAATTATAAATTGACTAATTAGACAAGAATTTAGAGACTTTTTTAGATTAGAAAATCTAAGAAGCAAGGAATACTTATAGACAAATGGTGAATTGAGTACAAGAATTGATTAAGTTTGAATAGTTGAAGAATTAGTAAATGGTTTAATCAATGTAGAAATTCAAGACATGTCTAATTATATAAATAACAATCATAATATAATAATTGTAAGAATAGAATTAAATCATTTAATAGCATTACACAAAACTTCAAAGCTCAAAATTCAAACAATATTGAACAGTCTTTCTATATAAGAAGACATCTAAAAAAAATTGAGAAGATTATAAAAAAAGAATTAGACAATATGATTAAAAACAAAAACTTGTAAAAAAAAACAGAAAAAAACATTACAGTCATAAAGAAAAAACAAAAGAAAACCTAAATGAAATATGAAAAGATATAAACAGAAATATCCTTAAAGGAATAAGAAAAATATTTTTTTAAAAAAAGATACTGAACACTTTTATTAACAAAAAAAATAATAAAAGAAAAAAGTCAGAATTAATGAAGTTATTATTATAGCTAGGAAGATGGATTAGTTTAGAGAAGAAAAATATTAAATTAAATTTAGAATCAGAAAATATAAAAATATTTAATAATATAATTGAATATATAAATCAACATCACAAAACTAATATAGAAAAGATTTCAAAGACATAAACAGAAGAGATAATAACTAATTTAAAAAGTTGATAAAAGATTCTATATAAAAGAAAAACAAAAGAATTAAAAAAACAAAAAACAAAAAAAATTAAACAGAATATTGAAAGGAAGTATCAAATGATCAATGACAAGCAAAAAAGAATATTGACAAGTATATTGAACAAATTATTCAAGAAAATCAAAATAGACAGACTTATTGAATTAAAATATCTAATTAGAGTTCTTATAACAGATCAAAGTAAGATGTTAAAAAAACTAAAAAACACTTTCAATAACAATTTTGGATCTAAAATTTCTAAAATCAAAAAATCAGAGAAGAATGAGAAAAAATTTACCAACTTAAAGAAGAAATTAATAAAGATTAATATAATCAACTAGAACAGGATATCCCAGAAGATGAGTAATCAAAAATGCTATCAAGTTTGAAAAATAACACAACACCTAGTATCTTAGAAATTATCTATATAATAATCAAAACAGCAAGTAGTCAAGTATAGAAAATTTTTAAAAAGTTATCAGAAATATGCATCCAGATAAGAAAGATACTGAAGAAAAGGAAAATATCACAAATATATCCAATACCAAAAGATCTAGATTGGCAGTACAATTTAAGCAATGTAAGATTAATAACATTGTTAGAGACCATGTATAAATGTACAATTAAAGTATTTACCAAGAGATTGGCACAGATTATCTGCCAAAAAAACATTTTAAAAGGTCCAAATTTTGCAAGCCTGCCAGGAGGTTCAACAGAAGAACCAGTGCATATTATAAACACAATAATAAAAGATGCAAAAGATCATAAAAATCTGTAATATATTAAAGAATTTTGCTATTTATCACCAGTGGTGATATTGCCAGGATACTATATCTCAAAATCTACCAGCTAACACATGTCGAAGGTACTAAGTAAAAATGTTCAGGATCCCAAAAAACCTAACCATAACAAGATTTGGACCTTTATACATAACCTAACCTTGCATTCTATCTCAAAATTTGATAAAAGAAATAAGAGGTGATGGTATCACCACCAGCAATAAATGCTAAAATTGTATATCAAATTCCATAGTTTAGCTCACATAGTTTTGATTTACTTGGTTGAATTACCACCCACGAGTCGCAGTTTTCCGAGCATGACAATATCGCTTGCTTGCGATCTTTATATTCTAAATTTAAGATAACTTATTGTACGTAAGCTATGATTTTCGTTTGATGAAGAAACTTATAATTTTACATAACAATAGGTATATATGATAAACAGTCAGGGAAACCTGTAAATCATACTTTCTGGATACATACTTTTAGCAGAAATATCAAAAAAGCCAAGTAATTAAATACTTAAGATTTTAATGTCATTCGAATCATTTCATTAAGCAATTCTAATAATAATAAACTAATTGTTAATTACATGATTTTAAAATATTTTTATTAAAAGTAAATATTTAAAAAGCATGATTTATGGGTTTTCCTTGACCGTCACTCATATGCTACTTAAACTATTCAACTATTCTATCATCAATAATACTCAAGTTTATTATGTAATTGATATAAAATTAATGCATCTTTTTATTTTATTGAAATTTGGCAATAATCAGATAACCCTGATTGACTTTTTTTGGCGCCAAAATTTTTGATATGGTGTTAACCGGGTTAAATACCCCCTTTATTAAATATTGTTTTAACCTTCATGTTTAAAATAACATAAGGAGTAATAAATGTCGCGGCTGAAGCTGGAAATTAGGGACCTCCACTTATACATTTTTATTATCAAAATAACTCTAAATTATACAAAAAAAGCCAACGAAATGCTCCCCAAATAAATTTGAAAATTTCATATTAAATTATTTAAAATTTCTAGCCTCAACCGTTTCCAGTTTCAGCCGCAACAATAAATATCCATGAGCGTAAATAGACTACATTGCATTATAGTTGAAATTTTTTGATTTATTATTATAGATAATCTTTAAATAATTTATCCAATTTCAACAATTAAATCATTTATTATTTGATAATAATCCAAGTTAATACAATTATACCTTTTCAAATCCTCCTTACTTGCCATAACAAAATTACGTGTTTCTGCTATTTTAACATGCAACTCTTGAAAGAACCAACACATGAGATTATTAAAGTTTACTTTATTATGCGCAAGAAAGAGCCAATCAGCAAAAAATTTTCGCTTTGCCTCATTCCATTTCATCCATTTTCTATTACCTTCCTCTCCCCAACTAATATTAGTATTATCTGCGCGCAGATGACATGGTGTTGGATCTAAGACTTTGGTATATTGGTGATTGGTTCCCCGAAGACCTGACGGCTGATGACATGAATGGTGCTTTTTCGTATCATCTGTATTTTCCTCGTGGCCACGTGGTCCCCAGCAGATGGCTCCACAAAACGTGCACGATTTTGTACAGCCGAGCCTTTCCATTACAATTTCATATTCAGAAGGAGCTTTAAATTTTACTGGACTCGATTCATATTTTTCACGTTGGTGTTTTAAAGTTGCCAACATACTATCACGAAATGCATCAACGTCTGATTCACTTGTTTCTTCTGTTTCTTTATGCATTTTATATTTACATCCTTCAACTTGATCCAAATAACTTTTAACGAAATTTTGAAAATTTTCGATAGATCTGTAATTATTAATTTTGGAAATAATATCACTGAATTCTTGTTCAAATACCCTATAATATTCTTTCTTAGAAATTTCAGGGTAGCTATTGTCGACTTCATTTTTAAACCATTCAGTTATTTTAACATCTGGAATATCAAAATGTACAAGAGCATTATGATATTCATGTTTTTGAACCTGTTCAGCTAATTGTTTAAAATATTTGAGCCTTGCATGTTCACTACTGTTCATCCAACTGATTTGAAGTATTTCACGAATTCTTCTTTCATTACCACTATTCACTGCTTTATTTCTTATTGCTTCAAGTAGGTATTGTGCGACGATCTTCCCCTCGGAAGCGTATGAGAAGCCATGTTGAAGTCTGTGATTAATTAACTTTATATAATCATTTTTTTTTTTTTCAAGTATTTTAAGTGGATTATATCTTTTATCCCAATTACGTTGCGCTATTTGCATTTTTTTATAAAAATTTACCAAGGCATATAAATGAATATCATATCTATTTTGATTAAGCCATTGAGATTGAAAAAGGCCTGCTTCACGAATCCTTTTAATTATTGATTCTGCTTTTATATATAGTGTTGTAATCATACCACTTTCAAATTTAACAGAATTTTTTTCCTTTAGTATTAAATCGGCCAATCCCTGGAGTTCTTCTTCGTATTTGTTAAATTCATTTGATACAGAGTGTATGTTGAATTGTGTAAAGATATTTTCTATTTGACTTGAAATGTTTGGCGTAACATAAGCTATAAATTTATTATAAACCATTTCTACATTTACATAAGCTTCTTTCACTTCCGATTTAATTCTTGTTTCGACCGATGATACATTATTCTTGTCACCTGCAAGTCGCCTCAACTGATTCCAAATATCATCGGCAATTTTATTACGATCTTCTCTACTGAATCGTCCTGATGGATGTCTTTTTAATTCTTCTTTCAAACGAGATGTAATTATATCCATGAATTCGGCTGTATATCCCTCACTTATAAGTCTAGCTTCAAGAACCTGAATAAGTTGTGCTTTCATGGCCTGGCGTCTACTTTTAATGTACTTATCTATCGTATACAATATATCTGATTTATTTATTTCTTTATCTTTAAGGTAATTTTCCAACGAAATTCTTGCTTCTGATAATTTTTTGCACTCATTACAGTGATTACTACATAAAGCATTATTTGACTCTTCTTCAATGCTTGCAATGCATTCTTCACGTAAACTATAACTGTCCAAATTATCAAATGTTTTCCGACGAATGAGGTCTGAACATTGTTCTGTATGAGCTTGAAAAGCAGCATTAATTGTTTCTTTTACTTTCATAATCAGCTTACTTCTCTCTATAAAATCGTATATTTCCCTGAGATTTTTAAATTGGACGGCAAAATTTTCGTTTTTGACAGATTCCCAAAATCCATTAACGACTGAATACCATTGTTTAAATGATACTTTACTATGAGAATGCTTACAGACCCTAAGTATTTCCTCATATAATTTCGTAACATCTTCATGGTATTGATCAGACGGTGGTGAATTTATACTTGCCCCATTTTTAAATGAACGAAACTGTTGAAGGAGTTCTCCTTTTTGTATTCTTTCATCTAAAATTTTTAGACTATTTGCATTTGTAATACCAAGTTCAGCATCATGCTGATCTGCGACTTGAAGTGCCTTCTGAAGAGCTTCACAAAGTTGAATTTGTCCTGAAGAAGTTTTTGCTGTATTTCTTTCCGTAAGGTGTTGTACCATAAAAATATCCGGTGCAATTTTAGCTTTTTCTAGACGTGCCATTGCAACAATTGCAATCTGTAATATTTCTATCAAGTCATTCATATATTCTCCGAGGACATTGATAAGTGTTAAATTGCTAATGCCCATCACAAACGTAGCCAATAGTCGATCCTTCTGCAATGCATCTTTTTCATTTATTTTCTCTGGAGCACCAAGACCTTCCGTATCAATAAGTAGGATTGCATCTACATTAAGCTCTTCACTAAGTTCACTGTTTAAAAATAATAATCTCATGAAAAGCCCTCGAGTACAACGACCAGGTGATACTGCAAATCTGCAAGAAAAAAGGGCATTCAATAAGGTAGACTTTCCAGATGATTGCAGTCCAAGAATAGAAACAACAAATATTCTCAAATCAGGATACTTAATTGATATTTCTTTGAAAATAGCAAATAGCCAAGCACCAGACATTTTGCCAGAATCACCGTCAATTAGTTCAATAGCTTGACCTTCAACTAATAGCTCAGCATAAGACTTAGGAAATTGTGATATATGATTAGGTTTATTTAAAGTTAATTCATATATTTGTCCTATTTCACGGAAGAAATGTTCTAAACCTAAATTTTTATTATCTATTTGTTCAAAAGTACGAATAATTTGTTCCCTACATAATTTCACTTTATCCTCATTTTTATTCGCCAAATCAATTGTGCGCCTTAGTTCTTCTCTTAGTAATAAAACTTTTTCTCGAGCTTTTGATGACTCTCCAGCTGAGATATTACAGACACATTTTTCTAAATGAATCAAAGCCCTTTTCCTCTTTTCGATTGGTAAACTCATAATCTTTCCAAAATGCTTCATTAGTGCTTGTAAAGCTATATTATTTTCCCAAAAATCACGAGGATCCCGGATTATCTTTATATGTCGTTTTTGAAGTAACATAGAACTTTTAGTAGTAGCGCAAGAATATTTTTTAATTAAATCTATAATTCGTTGAGACTCATCGCATTCAATTCCTTCTGTCAATTTCAGTGGGTTTCCTGACATGAATTTATTAAGATCAAGTTGAATTTCAACTTCGTTATCAAGGATCATTTTGAATCTAGAACGTACTATCTCTAGTGTTTCATCTTCAGTTAAACATCCAGTATCAATTCTATAACGTTTATTTTTATTTTCAGAATCCACCATGAAGTAGACAATCCTTTTGGAATTTACAATTTCATTCAACTGTTTCCATTCTTTTTCCTCTGCATTTGGCATGATGAAAACTAAAAATTTTGATGTTGCTTGTTTTAGCCATTGAATTTGTTCCTCATAGTCTAAGGCATCACCATGTAAATTTGCCAACAACACAATTTCGTCTGTTTTTCTCTTATAATAAGGTTCCATAACATTTTTCCAAAAACCGTCATTACAAGTTTCTTGAGTAAGCCATGTAAACTCAACGGTTCCAGGTAGAGTATAAGGTTTTCCTCGTGATGCCCCAGGTTCACCAACTGATGAAAACATGTGGTCAACTGCCATTAGTTGATTTAAAATTGTACTTTTTCCCTTAGAATTGGATCCAATTCGAATAGCAACAAGAAGTTTAAATGGGCTTTCGAAAAGATGATTTTCAATAATTAAACCAGGTTTTGTTTCCCATTTGATTGTTGGGCCAACAAGAAGTGGCAACATAACCTTGAACTGCTTTTTATATTCAAAATCAGGTATTACAAGAGGTAGTGCCATTGGAAATTTTGCCATTGTATGAAGAATATCTCGAGCTATTGTACAATCAACAGTGCTAAGTAAACACGCAATACAATCAATTCGAGCTAATGAATTATTATTTTTATTAGAACTATTTGAAATAAATAAGGGAATATTTTCTTTCTCTGATTCATTATAAGTTAATTCTTCATCAGAGAATGGGTCATCTATAAATGGATCTGGATTGTTATTAATAGAATATTCTGACTTAGGTACTAATCTTAAGATATTACTGGCCGTAAGTGCGCTACAACCCCACATTTTAACCTTTTGTCTGAGATAACGAAGTATTTTTTCAATACGAATTTCAGGCTGAATTTCAGAAACATTTGGGGCTGGAATGAGTTTACATATTCTGTTGTAATCTTTTGCCATTATTATTTTTATTTTTTCACCCATTAAAGGTTGCCAATTTTTGTGAATTCTCAACACCTTAAAATCTGGTGTTTCTGGTGATGAGTTAGTAATAAATTCATAATCCGAATTTATGACAATCGGTTCATCCTTTTGTTTTTCAAATTTCCATTTATTAAGCTTTTCAAGTGCTAATTCAATTGTATATTGATCCCAACCCTTGGAAATTTTATCTTTTGAATCCCAATTATCATCAGATAAAACTCCAGCGGATTTTAAACATCTTTCCAACTCTTCATTTTTTGCGATCGACTTCCTAAGTATATCACTCGGTATTCGATGATTTTTGAGTAGATAATCAAAATATTTTATTACATGATCGATACTATTTAATTCATTATGAGAAAAATTTTCTGGTTCATAATGTTCTTTCAAGTATTCTCTCAGTAAATTTTGAATACTTTCTGGTACATAATTTGGAAATTCTTTAATATTAATTGACTTGAATAACGTTGAAATGGGAACCAATGGCATAAATATAGCTGCATTTTGAACCAAATACCCAAACCTTGAATTCTTCCATAAATAATTCTTTTGTTCGTCCGTTAAGTCCTTTACTGTTAGTTCAAAAAGATCTTTAATATCATTTCGATTATTAATGTCACTTATTTTATTCAATTTTTCGTGCAGCTTATATAATTGTGGATCACAATTCAACTTTGAAAGTAATGAAACAAGATCTGGTAATGACTTTCTATTCATAAATTCTTTAATTTCATCCCAACGACTTTCATAGGGATCCATATATTGTGGTAATCTGTTAATATAACTTGGAATAATTTCGTCCATTAGAACGTCCGAAAATTCTTTATTAGCCAATGGTTGCATGGTTTTCAATAAAGAAATCAAGTTTAAAACATGAAATGATTCCTTTTTGTCAAATTCTGCAGAGAGTTGATCAAAAATTTTTATATATTCATCGCATCGAACTCCAATATCATTTATTGATTTACGTTTCTCAATATTTGTTTTAATTTCACGATTACAACTTGGATCATTGCAAATTAATTTGACAGATTCACTAAGGTTTTTTTGAGCATCTTTGTCATCAAAATTATTTAAAACTTTTTCTACAGTATTCTTTGCATACTTGACTTTTGATAAAAATGGATCACTTGACTTTAACCAATCGTGTAATATAGCACATAATGATTTTGAACCTTCTGCACTTAATACTTTGTTGTTAAATTTAGAATCTGCTGTGCTCCACCCATATTCTGTAAGAGAAGTGATTAATTTATCATTGTTCATAATAGCTAGTTGAGCAATTGATGAAATTACATCTAAATCTTTTCCAAAAAGTGCACTTCGAACAACATTTAATACATCACTCAAAGTTTGATCTGGTGATTGATTAAATGGTATTTCAAATGTATTTTGATCTAATTTTAATACTTTAGTTTGATCCACAGTTTTTGTAAATTCAAAGAAAAATTTAGATCGATCAGGATATAATGAATAGCGAAGAGAATCACAAGACAATATTGAAAAATCTTTGCTTTCGAACATTTTTAAAAGGATTAAAATGTCTAATTCGTCTAAACACACTGCTTTGATCTCACCCTCATAAAAAACAATCAGCAGGGGTGCTGCATATAAAGATGGAATACTGGATTCACCAATTATTAATTCAATTTTTTCAAAAATTTCTTTTGGAAGATGTTTGATAGCATAAACAGCATCTAGCGCAGTATCTGGAGCATCTAAAGCGACAAAAAATTTCCATTGAAGATCACCATGGGTAGAGTTTCTGATTTTTTGAAGAGAATCTATATAAGAATGTGCTATAGAAACCTTATAATCTATTTGCAGTAAAGATATTATACTATTTAATTCAGAAAAATATTTAAGTTCTAATGGTAATTTGATTTTTAAATGTGATGCATTCAGCATATAAAAGCGACTTTCAATAGGATTTCCCATGCCTACAGCAGCACTTAAAATTCTGAGAACTTGTGGGATCTCTGTCATATTATAAATTTTTGACAAATTATGATCTTTAATTTCTAAGGAAAATTCATTCGAAATGCTTGGTAAAGCTATTCCAACTTCAATTTTTTGTTTTTGTAAAGCGTTGACTATTTTAAAAAGATTCTGGAACGCAGAATTTTTTTTCGAAGAATCAGTACCAGTCCGTAAAAGTATCTTAATATTTATTCCTGAATTCAACCATTCATTCAGTTCATCGAAATTTGTAAAATAAATAATGTTAACATTCATAAGAGCTGCATCCTTTTCATGAACAACATTGAGTTCATTTCTTCCATCAGACACAAATTTTTCAATCTTGGCGTATACCTTTACAATGCAGAAATCACTTTCATCATAATCACGCATGATTTCAAAGAGGTCTTCATAGCTACAATTCCCAACCTTGTATTTTTTTAAAGCCTCATATGTTTGTTCAAAATAATGACTTGTAGTTTTTTTCAAATCATTTTGATATTCAGTAATATCTTTTGACAGTTTGGATTGAGAATCATATAAAATTCTTTGCAAACGATATTCAGTTCTTAATACACATCTCTTGATATATTCATGAGATTGATAATCTTTAAGTGCAATAAGCATCGTACGAAAATTTTCTAAGATGCTGTCTTTTAGCTGTTTATAAAGTTTTTCGACTTTAATGTCGAGAAATTGAGAAATAGGTACAAGATTAAACCGAATAGGTACACCTGTAATATCAGGACCAATAAATTTATAATACTGCTCTTTTTGAACACATACATCTATATTTTCAATTAAATTGAACATCTGATTTATGGTTGTTGGTTGATTTTTTATTGGTGGTTTAGAATTGACAGTTATCTGCGTATCATAATTACTGGATTTTTTTGAGTCTAGCATTTTCAAACTAGTTTTTAAAGACGCGTTTACGTAACCAAAAGGAATATCACTAATTAAGCAACCATTTGCATCCATCTTTTTGCTTGTATCATGTTGTCTTATTCTTATATCTGCACAGACTTTTGCACCTAAAATTATTCCATGGACGATATGTGTTGCCCTAATTTTTTTTTCAAGGAGTTGACTTCTAATAATATCATCTATTGCATCTTTTGCTTTAGGAAGTAATTCGACTAAATAATTATCAAGATTATATTCACAGATAAGTTGTTCTTCATTGGAGTTTCTGGCGAGCGAGGTATCCCAATTTCCTTCTACTTTTAGAATACCTGATAATATTTCAATTGATATAGCACCATCTATTTTTAATGATGTTAGTTGATCTTCCGTACTCTTAACATGGATTAAACGGTAATCCAGTGTTTTTAATGGATGAATTATTAAATGATTGCTTGTGAGTTGTTTTTCGAATAGATTAAACCCGATCGTTTTGGAAAGATTACAATCCCAAAGAGAACCCAAGGATAAAGCATTATCTTCAATATATGGAAGTGAGAGGGATGAATCCTCCACGTAATTAATTTCTCTTTTACTCATTAGATATAACAGTAAGTTGTCATTAATTGAAATAAGCAGGGTATTTATTATTCGAACATTTATTTAACTTTTAAGATGCCATGTTTTTATAGCTAAATATAGTAAATTGTATAGAAGTCATAACCTACTAACTATAATAATAATTGATAAATTAATTTCCGTCCAGTATTTGAACGCAATTAACTATAATAGGAATTAAATCAAAGAAGTCGAAACTTTGACTTATTTTAATATGAAATTTAAGTTTTTTTTAGGTTATAGTTAGGTTAGTATAAGTGGAATTTAGTAAGGTTATTAAAATTTTTGGTTGTGTGGTCATTGCATATTCGTGTAACATTTATACTTTTTGATAACGCGCTAGTAAGTTTTCTATAAACTCATTGAATAACGAACGAACGATCGATCGATCGATCAAATGCTTTAATAAGTTTATTATCCCCATCATTTAAACACACTAGTCTATATATTAAGACTTCTGGAGTTATCGTTATGTACGTTTGATAATCATTACATACTCGTAAAATTCATGCATATTTGATTTTGGCGCGTTAGAGAACTAGCGTTCTATGACTTCATTGAGTAGCAGGTCAAATGCTTTAATAAGGTTTGTATCCGTTATTTAATGACCTATATTTGTAAAAATTTCACGATTCATATAGATTATTTCTTTTTTTTTTGAATACAAAAATCTCATGTTGTAAGCATGGGAGCCTAAACCCACCTTAAAGTATATATGTTAATAGAAATTTCCATTTGTACACATACTGTACGGATTGTTACTAAATGCACCATGATTTTGATACACCCAAAGATCTTGATACAGTGATAGGGGTATTTTAATAAAAATGATTAGAACGCAATTCGGTTTGCACTACCCGGCATTTCAAAGTTTCGGTTGGGCATAGAGATGGACCAATGCGCATTCATATGCATAATTTCCGAAACGCGCATTTTTTCCATCAAGGTTTATATAGTAAAACTTTATAAAAAACTATAAAGGCCGAAAATAAATTTTTAATACGTGTTCGTACTTCATGCGAATATTTTTCTTTGAATAGACTCGTGTTACATAAATTTTCATGTAACCAAGTCTTTCAATTTCTAAAGCTTTATTTAAAACATTTTACTTGTTCAGGTATTATAACTATAAGTATACATTATTCGACCAAAATTTTCGAATAACGGTAATTTGGTTCAACCAGGCAAATGAACACGTGTCGCGAAACGGCACATGTCGTCCAATCATTTATCCGGTAGAGCCAGGCTACCGTCATTCAAAAATTTACCGAATCATGGTGCTTCATAAATCCATGATAATAAGAGTTTGTCGAATAATAAAAAATATACAGTTATTTCAGCTATTCGGATTAATAGAATTCATCGACAATCTACCCAATCTATCTCTAGCAAACATTAACTATAAATCAGAAGTATTCATGCCAATTTTTGGGGATATTTAAAGTCTGACACCTTGCGAGTTTAACTGATTGTTAATTAAAACTGATTAATATTAGAGTTAATTTAGAATTGGGTTTTAGAGCAAGGAATAATATATAGTAAATCACATTTCCAACACTTTTATTTAGTGCCCCAATGGGTTAATCAAAATTTCATATTGGGTAATTTCGGCTTTAAACAACCAAATTATAAGCGTATTCATTATTCTATAAAAAAAAAGGTTTATTTGAATATTTCCATTTTATCTCCTTATTTTCTGTGAATCTGTAACATATCTGGTAGGCCGAATAATTTCAGTCATTCGAAGGGTGGAAGATCTACTTGACCAGTTATCGATCTTTATAGTAACGCCACAGATAAAAGTGCAATCGCTCATATGATAAATCCTTAACGAATCTGATTAAATTTGCTAGAAGCAAGTAGCATTGAAGAACAACTTTATTATGTAAATTTATGACTTGCAGATAGAAAGTCATAAATTTGTATAGTAAACAGTTGATGAAATTTTTTAAAGCAATTTTACTATCAAATTTAATCAGATTTGTTAACTATTTATCCTATAGAACTTTCTTATAAGCCAATTAATTTAAAGGATCGGCAACCAATCAAACGGATCTTCCACCACGCTAATATAGTATATAATGTTAAATTGATCATCTAGTTTTAATTTGATTACTAAGCGATTCGTAAGTGTTATTTTTTCATGGGCGATGCTAGGGCTATCTAAATCTAGTTAGTTGGATTTAATTTATCGTTATTGATTATCAATGGTAGAAAATCCGACCGGAAAAAACCGACATGTTGTTAATAACTGTATGTATTAGATAGTGGTCATGCGGCACGTTTTAGCTAATCATTTGCTCCGCAAATCAAATTTTATCCAATATCGATGTTATTGTGCAATTATGATCATGATTTACAAGTCGTTGTGCTTATGTAATAACGTACAAAAAATAACAAGAAAAAAAACTTCATGAGAGTTTGCACGATAAATTTCTATATTGAAGAACCATTTTTTTCTAACATAGTAAAAAATCTACATCATCATTGAAAATATGTTTGTGGATTCTAATGTTATGCACTTTCTACTCAGTCAGCTCAAGTCAGCTCGGCTCAGAGCTTGCAAGAGTTTATAGACTATGTAAAACATTTTCAATTTGATGAAATGATAGAACACTTTTTTTCTTTTTTCTTTTTTCTTTTGTATTAATAAAATGTCGGAGATGATACTGAAATCGGATGATGCTGAAGTTTCATACTGGCGGATTTGCACAGTCCAATAAATAAAGGAACCTATCAATTATAATTCCGGTCAAAATCGTAGATCTTGAACAACTAATTTAAGGAAAATCCAAATGGTAACCTATTTACTTTGTACCCTTTATGTATTTAGTAGACAAATAAGTAAAATATTAAATTAAAGATAAAAATTGGAACTAGAATTATTAGGGTTAAGGTTAAGGTAAGATTGCGAGAGGACCATTTGTTCTTAGTTGCACAATAGGGGTTACCTTAGTAAAATTTTTAGACATTAGAGATGGTACAAGTGCACGATACACTATTTAGTCTTGTTCACAATTTTAAATTTGACTGAATGATCAATTATGACCGACCCAATTCTTTTTTTTACAAATTATTAAAATCATTTTAATGAATTTAATTCAAAAAAAATAAAAATAAAACTTGTTTAATCAAAAGATAGACATACAAGGATTACTCGAGTCTAATTCAGAAAATAGAGTAATATCGAGCATTTCTGGATGGTGTGACGGGTTTTATGGACTTTTATTTTTATTTGTAGGGGTAATACAATTATAGGACTGTATTATTATACTAATCCGGGCGGTTCTTTACTCTGAACTATTGTACGATTCTGAACTATTCTTTTGGAAGGGGGAAATTCCACCCTTTTTATAATGAATTGAGCGCGAAAAGAGCACGCACAAGACCACGACTCTTCTCATTGTTCCCATCGCTTCCCAACCTTATTTGTTCTGACCTTTAACCCCTTTCACTAGGGTTGTTAATGGGTTGGGTTGGGTTGGGTTGGGTTGATCCAATTCTTAACCCACTCCAGTAAATTAGACTTACTTCAGCATTTTGCTCCGGGTTGCTCCATAGCTACTCCGGGTTGCTCCAGGTTGCTCCAAACTTAAAAATAAAAATTTAAACCCACTCCAACTTGGGTTGGGTTCTACTCCGGAGTGCTCCGGAGCAAGCTACTCCATTAACAACCCTACCTTTCACACAGCCTTTCGTTACTTTAACATTTCTCACGGTCTTCATAGAACCGATGAGAAATGTTTCAGTTTCACTATCTCGGGGCCAGAACCCATCATATTGTCTACAATCGCACCCCCTTGACATCGCCTCACACCTAACCCAAGAAGGGTAGGTGGAGTCAACGTCCATTCCCAGCGCGAACAGGGGTGGTGGGATCCCGCATGGAGGCTTGTGTACTGTCATATGGCTTCCGTGGGGCCGGGCGCACATGTTTCAAATGGATCGTCATGGCACCTCCAATTAGGTAAGTATGCCACAATGACGTCCATTTCGCAGGTTCTATGGGGTGTCTGACAACGGTATGCTTTATGAAATCTGATTGGTTGAGTCTAATAGTTAATAGTAGCGTGAGTAAAATTTAACGCATCATTGTCGAGATGATGCTGAAATTTGTTTAGAGAATTTGAGTTAGAGTTCATAATAAAAGGGTATATATGGATTTAATAAGGCAAAAAACTGAAATTACCAGGAACGGAGTGATATTGAAAATTTCACGAAGTGTATATTATATATTGCAAATTAAATGATGTATACTATTTTTTTGAAAAGCGATTTGTGATCCAATTTTCATAACTAATAAATAATGTGATATTTGGTATGTTTAAGAGCAAGGTATATATATATAGTGATCAGTAACGATTATTTGTATTATTCTATCTCCTAATGCTTGAAGGGCATTATTCAATCTAAGCGGCTTTCTTAAATAGTGCCCGGGGTACTATATTGGGGTGTACACAATCAGTAGATTTACAAACACAGTGCAGGTCATATTTATTTATAATAAAATTCAGGCCGCAATAACTTCTGAACACAAATAAAATTGTACATAATCTTGAAATATGATTGGTTTGCGCCACCAAAGTATCATGTGTCCGTACTTTTTTGAAGAGCAAAAGTATCAATTTTGATAGATCTACAATGCATTCTTAATGCATTTGGGATTATGCATAATAGTTATATAACAGATAATATCATAGTGTAATATATAGTATAAATCTATTTTTAAAATACTATTTATAGACCCGTGGGTCAATAGCATAGTGGTTAGCACTCTCGGGTCACAATCGCAAGGTTGCAAGTTCAAATCCCACTAGATGATAGTGATTTCGTCAGGATCATGATTAGAAGATCTTCAGAGGATTTTTCATTGAAGAAAAGAACAAGATTCATACATAAAAATGCAGTTTACTGACATAGCCACAGAGTCAGAGATGACTAAAAAAGATGAATTTGTCAACAAATGATGTTAATATTGAGAA